TTCATATGTCCATACACGCATTCATTCCATACGCCCGTACCCCCCGGACGATTTGGGCCCTGAATCGCCCGGGGGCTCAGGAACTAAGGCATCGCACATACGGCGAAATGCATCACAACGCTCCATGTTGCGTCATGAAGCGGCAGTTGCCTCATTCAAACATGAGCAACGATCGACCGGGATTTAAAGTCCGGCCCACAAAGGGCTCAAGGCCGCATCGCGTTAAACAGAGCCAGGGAAGAAAACGCAGATGAGCTCCAAAGTAGACAGGGTCATCTCAACCTTCTCGTTCGATCCTAAACCTCTACCAAACCCACAGAATCTCCATCGAAGGGGAGGCCAACGGGCCACCCAGGTCGGTCTCCAGAACGACCCAGGCATCTACCGGGTTGTAGGTAAAGGAGCAGTGGAATGTCACAAGAGGGCTATGCCGACCCCGTCACGAACGACGGACCCAGATTCCACTCGATCATACCCGTTAGCGAGCTCACCGAGCACGTCACTCGAGCCCGAGCGATCGAGGCAAGCGACAAAGCTCAGCCCCTCCGGTTGTGAGAAACCAAGGGCGGGGTAACGCACACAACTCAAACCGACCCCTACCAAAGCCCAACGGAGCTCGGGGGCTCAAGACACCCAAAACACCTAGGTCTGCGACCCCGAACTCACCCCATCCCTCGGCTACGCTTCGACTGCACACCAACAATTGGGTCTATGACCCTGAACTCACCCCATCCCTCGGCTACACCTAGATTGCACACCAAACGCCTAGGTCTGCGACCCTGAACTCACCCCATCAGGATCCGCGAGATCCGTCTCTCCCGATCCCATGGCACGCATTGACGCCAGGATCCGTGAGCTCCGTCTCACCCGATCCCTAAACTAATTGCCTCGGCTGCGCGGGCTGCACCGACGCCAGGGTCCACGACTCTGACTCGCCCGATCCCACGGCGCGCACCGACGCCAGGATCCGCGAGCTCTGTCTCACCCGATCCCTAAAAACTACCCTAAAACCAAACCACCTCGGCTGCACAACGACGCCTTGGTTGACGACTCCGTCTCGACTAAAAAACATGCACACACACCCGCTGAAAAAACCCCCAGACAATTTTGCCCGAATCGCCTGGGGGCTCGGGGGCTACACCCGCGGGTGCGCTCGTGCGCACCCGCTGACGAAACAAAAACTTCCCTCACTGGCAACACAAAAAAACCCCCCAGATGATTCTGCCCGAATCGCCCGGGGGCTCGGGGGCTACACCCGTGGGTGCGCTCGCGCGCACCCGCCGTCAAGACAAAAATCCCCCAAGCGATTCTACCCGAATCGCTCGAGGGCTCGAGGGCTCTTGTCGGGCTCATAAACCCGGGGTCCCTTGCGGGTCGGCTTTCCAACAAAGGTTCGGTCCAAGCAGACAACGCGCAACTCATGGCCCGGCCCATGTACCTAAATGACAGGCCAGAGGGGCGATCCAATCTCCGACTGGAAGGCCTGTCCGAGGAGAAATGGCACCCGCTTCCGACTCTAGCCCGCCTCTCGGACCGGATCGCTCGCTTTGGTTTCCAGCCCGCCTCCGGACAGCCTCTCCAACCGGAAGGCCTGACCAGACACCACTTTCGACTCTGACCCGCATCTCCGACCGGGGATGCGCCAAACCCCTGCTCACTGCTCTTCTCCGACTGGCACGATTAGAGCCGACTAGGACCAACCGACCGGGGACGCCCGCTCGGTAAAGACCAGGAAACGAACGGAGAAAGTAAGGCAGGGTGCACTAGTCAAACCAAAATACCGGGGACCATACCCTGTACACCTGCAGAAATAGTACTTTGTGACCTCCCTGGCACGACAGAATCAAAGCAGTGTTGTAGGCGCTGACATTTTCCCCTACAGTATTGTGGGCCCCATTAACTCCCATACGGTAAGGCTCCCCCACATGTCTCTGGGCATCGGTAGTGTTGTGGGCGCCGGCATTTACCGTACCAGACGAACATGGTAAAACCCCTTGCATGCCTCCAGGTATCAACAGTGTGGCAGGCACCGACGTCTGCCATACCCGAAGAAGACAACACAACCGCCCACGTGCATCTGACATTCAACAGTATTGTGGGTGGCTACCATTATCCTGTACCCGTCGGCATGGGCAACAAGGCTTAGTAGCATATGTACTCTCTCCCTCTCACTTGTAAGGCCATCCCCTTCATCTATAAAAAGGGGATGCGCTCTCTCCCAACAGGTAGATTCATTCGATCGATCAGTTCACTAGTCCACAACAACAGAACCTCCAGGTTCAAACCACGAGCACACGCTCAAACACTTAGCGTATAGCGGGGCTCCCGTCACTCTCGGCTCCTCTGACCAGAATCCGATCGGACCTCTTGTACCCCCACCTCTCTCGTTCTCGTTTGTAACCCCACTACAAACTTCGAGCACCTAGGCTCGGGAATAAAGTCACCGACCGACTCAAACTGGACGTAGGCTACATTGCCTTAACCAGTATAAACCCTGTGTCATTGAGTGTTAGGCCACCTCCGATCACAACGTACGACAAAACTATAAATATTTATGTGTTGGTCACTTTCTGCACCGACACATACGCTTGCAACATGCTTGTATATGAAACATCCAGGTCTACTTTTGCAACATCTAGATGAAACACTTGCAACATACGTCTAATACAGATAAAATATTTGGAATATACACTTGAAACATATGTGTATAGCCATTGCAACATCCCGATCTACTTTTGCAACATCAATATAAAACACTTGCAACATATCTTTGAAACATCTGAAACACTTGAAGCATACGCTTGCAATATGCGCTTTTAGCGCAATGTCACCTTGCTGCTTGGACGAATGGAGGCTCGTCGTCGCGGAACCATAGAGGTCGGCAGCGGCGCGAGCAACTCGCCGGCGGGGCGGCGCCACACGAAGCTCCTCCCCTTGCCTGCTTGCTGGAGCATCCGTCGTCGAGGCTCGCCGACTTGGTGGAGCGGTGGCGCGGCCACGGCGGACGAATGTCGCGGTGGAGGCGGTGCAATGGAGGAAGAGTAGGGCAGGCGGGTGGTGAGGTGGAGCGACCGACGATCGGTTGAGTGAGAAAATGGCGCAGTAGAGAGCAAGCGTTCGGATGGACGGATGCCCTAGCCTAGCATTACCGAATTACAAAAGGATGGTTTAAGTGTTTATAGCATTCAAGGGATGGCATGGAATGGGACAAATACATCTTGGACCACTTAACTCCTACACCCATTCAAGAGATTTGGTGTTGTCCACGTAGGCCTGACTGCTCCACATTTGTTCCATCAGGCAGCAGCTACTCCACCATGGTCGGCCAGCCTTGGCCGCGGAGAAGACCGGAGCAGGAGTTGTCCTTGTCCCAACAGTACGCACGCAAACACACAGACACAGCGACAACGTAGGGAACTGTCCCAACTACGTTGCAGCGCTAAAACTAGAGCACGGTCAACAACCGATGCGTGGTGTTGTCAAAAAAAAAAAAACGATGCGTGGGTGAACCCAAATACTCGGGCAAAAGGACTGACGAAACTGAAACTGTGAAAACAAAAAACAGCAGACTCTTGGCCTGAAGCCCTGAACCAACCAGAAGGAATGTTCAGACACTTTGTAGTTGAAGACAGCCATCTGTCGCGATAGAGATACTAACATCTTTTTTTTTTTGAAACGGAAACTATGCTCAACAATTTCCATGTCCATCAATGATCATACTGGCAGCAAAACGAGGTATTGTCTGTAAACCATGATCCGGAAGGCATGGATTATTTTCACTGCACAGCTCAAATAAATAATCTCCAATTCGAGTGCAATTTGATTTGTAAGTTTGTAGAGATATGACGGTGAAAGTCTTCTACTCTTCTTCTCAAGGGATGCAGCCGCGACCGATCTCGCTGGATTCTGTGCGAAGAATGCGGGGGGTCTTTTTTGACTCCGAAGGCCGCTGCAACTGCGAGGCTCATCTATCACCTCGCCAGCGCCGATAGGGAGGCAGTCCGGCTCCGGCACCATGTACGTATGAATCGAAGAAGTCGGGATGTGGAGGAAACTGATGACGTCATCATTGGCTAGACCGGGCGTGATGGACATGTGTCAATGGATTCGTGTGGCAAAGGAATTTTTAAATATATTTTTAACTTTTTTATTTTAAATAGATTGCCCTAATAAAATATTTTGGGAATATCATAATTGAAATGATGATATTTTTAATTTGTCGATTTAATTATCGATTGTTTTTCTTCTCGGACAATGTATCTTAAAAAAATCCATATAAACTCCGATGGACATAAATTTTTTATAGGGCTTGATAGGATCTACAATTGTTTTAAGTTTCTACCATTTTCTTTTAAAGCCATGTTGATGTCAAAATAAACGATCACGACCATCTAAAATATTAATGCAAGTTCTTTGTATGGACTCTAATTCAAAGTAGAATTCTAAAGGTCGACGATCTAGCTTGTAGAGGACTGCCAAATCAGGATTCATGTACTGTTCAATGAAAAATTTATCCACTGGCTAGCATATTAAATACTATAAGAAATCATAACCTTTTCATATAACTTTATAAGATGATAAAATTCATATGAAAATTATAGCGCCAGATCTATAACTTTATAATTCACATTTTTTTTGTCTGAAGCCATCTTGTTGCTGAAATAATGGACATAATGTTTGTATCTAAATGATTATTTCAGCACCAAAATTGGTTTTAAACAAAAGAAAAAATTGGAAACTATAAAGTTGTCGATCCTGTTAAACTCAACAGTTTTCATAAACTTTTATCTCCATCCGTACATACAAAAAATTTATGGTTTTCTTTTCAAGATTCTTGCATTGCAAAGAAAAAGTTATGCCAATTGAATTGACAACAAAGGACATTCCGACATTCCATCAATTGAATTAACGAAATTTAAATCGCAAGGTGCAGGCAGCCCAACCCAAAGTATGTCGGAGACGAGCGGGCGAACGTGTAACTCCGGGCACAAGCTAGTTCTATGGCGGTGAGATTTAGAGAAGTGGCGGTGTTTTGTATTCTCTATCTACTGAGTGAATTTAGGCTCTCCGCAGTGTGTTCCTGGAGTAGCGCTTGAAACGGAGAGAGAAGGTTGGAGCATTACTCCCCACACTGCAGGTACTGTACTGATGCCCAAAGGGAGCTCTTGTGAAAATTAACAGGTTTTGATAGATTGGTGAAGCGTGTGTATGCCAGAACACAATACATTCACTAATAAATATATATACAACAATAAAGAACTGTACTGTTTAGCTGATATAGGTGGGCATATTCGATCCTCTCGCCGACCCAAGCATCGTAGAATCCCCCACCCAAAAATATCAAGCGGGCACACAAAGAGCGCGTGCGCAGTGCTAGGAGTAGGTGGGTAGATTGGTCGAACTTCGAAGGGATTGGAGGCCTTCTTCAGCTGTGGCATCAGTGGGAGGTGCATGACGAGGAGGGAAACGAGATGGACTGATGGAGGGAAGGGAGACGGATCGCTGGCTCGCAGGGAGTGGAGGCAGTACCTGCTACAACTCCAGCAGCATCCTCTCTGCACAAAGGTCTTCACTTTCGCTCATGTTCTTGGATTTTGTTCGCTCATTCGGGAATCGGTAGTAGGGGGTTGTTAAAGTGTGGGTTGATTTGGTTGGCTGCCGCAGATGATCACGGCGGGGTGCCTTGTCAACGTCAGTGACTCCGTCGCGCAGAAGCTCTCGGGGTACCAGAAGATTGAGAAGCGCATACTCCTGCTCAAGATGGTAAGGACGATGCCTTGCATTTAGTTTCTGCTACATATAGATGCAGTCACCGGGGGAACTGGATCTTTCTCTGTTCATTCATTGGGGGAATAGAGCATTTAATTAGTTATATCAGATTAGGACCAGTTGATGTCAAAATAAATGATCATGACGATCGGTTTTTTATACTCAATCTTCTGTGCTTTTACACATAGCCCTAACCAGTGTGCTAATCTCTTAGCATGTATGGATGAAAAGGACATTAAGTTGGCTCATCCGGTTGCAAACATGTTCACCAGATTGGCCTCCAACGTTGAACGAGTCAAATTCGCATATTGTCCTTTTCCTTTCCATTTCAGCATTTCCCTTCCTCTCCTTTTCTAAATACATGAGGTTGCTCATCCCTCTTCCTCCTTGTGCTAGTACCACCACCCAGAGAAGGAGACTCTTCTGTTATCAATACACAGCCCGATCGCTGGGCTGGCTGGCTGGGGCTGGACTGACCAGTCCCCTCATAAAAATATTGTTCATCTGAACCAATCAGCAGTACTTCTCTCTCACATAAATGAACCAGCCACGATACGAACCAGCCAACCGAACAGGCCGACATGATACTACTACTCTGTCCTCCTCCACCCCACCACCACCACCACCGTGTCAGTGTTACTCATACAACACATGTGACAAGCGCCAAGCATGGATAGGGAGTAAAGGTGGGCGTACACCCTAGTTAGTAGGGCATATTTCCCCCTCCAGTTAGTATAGCTTTCACTAGGGCCTTGTTTAGATTGTAAATTTTTGCAACCTGGACACTGTAGCACGTTTCGTTTGTATTTGACAAACTTTGTCCGATCATGGACTAACTAGGCTCAAAAGATCCGTCTCGTGATTTACAACCAAACTGTGTAATTAGTTATTTTTTTTTACCTACATTTAATACTACATGCATGCGTCCAAAAATTGATGTGATGGAGAGAGAGTGAAAAAACTTGGAATTTGGAGGTGATCTAAACAAGGCTTAGAAATTTGCAGTTTTGACTTTTCTTTATAATATTATCGACTATTGATTAATCCGATGCTATCATGTAACTGTTTCAATTATTAGTCATACATCATGACAACAAATAGAAGAAACAAATAATCTGGTTAGCAAAAGCAAACACTATAGATCATCCAAAAACTTGTAGCTACCTTGAATCTAATAAAAAAAGTATATACCATTGTTCACCATAGTCCACTTTTCAATTTCTGTTGTTCTGACTGGTCATAGTAAATTTCGTGTACATAGGGTCTGGGAAAAAGATCTGCCTTCAAAATATGGAAGCAGTTGTAGCATCTGGAATATTGAAGGTTGTTGGCAACAAGTTAGCTCCACTTCTGATGAAGGAGTACAGCTCCATAGTGGGAGCGAAAAAAGATCTCCAAGAGCTCCATTGTCAAGTTGTGGAGATCAACAATTGGTTGGAAAGCGTAGGAGGTAAAGCTGCGTGGAATGACCCATCATTTAATTGGCTCAAAGAGTTGAAAGATATTGCTTACAAAGTTGATGATATTGGGAACTATAAAGTTGTAGATCCCATCAAGCTCAACAATTTTCATAAACTTTTATCTTAATCAGTGCTCATATGAAAAATTATGATTTTTCAAGATATATTTTGTGTTGGAAAGGAAAAAGTATGCCAATTGAATTGACAACAAGGGACATTCTGACATTCCATCAATTGAATTAGCGAAATTTAAATCTCGCCATTTTATTTGTCTATGGTTGCATATTTCTACAACTTTTTTCTATTAGATAAACCATTTTTACAAAACAAAATAATATATATTTTTTTGAGCAACAACAAAATAAAATATATAAATAAATAAAACATTTGTGGCAGAGTTTGTAGTCATGGGCCGAGTATTGCGTAACACATAAGGCCGAAGGCCCACAGCCCCATACTAGCACTGCGTTGAGCCCATTAGCATGAATTAGCACGTTGAGCCCATGGGCGGGCGAGGTTGAAAACGTGCTCGTGAGCTGGGCGGGCATGCATGCATCGCACGTGACGGATAACAACCACAGCGTGCACGAGCCTATTAATTTGCTGGTTCGTTGCACGTGCAAAAAATGGTGACCATGCATGCATAGGGTATACCGAATGTTTTAGCACAGGGCACCGTGGCATTTGTGACAAAAGCCTGCGTCTGGCCAAGGTTTCCGGGCTGCCGGAGAAATTCAAAGGAAAGGAAAGCAGGACATGCAGGAAGCATACATGGGTAGAACGAAAAGGGAAAGAAGCGGCCAGCAGGTATAATTAGGTGGACGTCCTCCTATATATGGCACCGTTTGACAGTTTATAAGAAATCATCGCCCTTCGTATATTAAAATAGTATCAAAATTCTCATGTATTTTGGTTGGAATATAATCAGACAAAAGTTAATTATCTATATTGAGAGCTTGGAGCTAAAAAAATCCACACGTTGATGCTAATATGCTCCATACTCAATCTCTCATCAGAATCATTTTAGAATGACTCTCGATGTATTCTCCATATATAATTTCCTAACTAGAATCAGAGAATCAGAATTAGATCTAAGAATTAAAGGTGGAATTTTACCACACACGCCATATATATACACTACTCTCTTCGTTCCAAATTATACAACGTTTTAGCTTGACTTTCTATATAAATAATTTTTGATATACTTAGATATATGCTATGTTCAGATACATAGTAAAAATAATGTATCTAAAGAAAGGCAAAAATGTATTATATTTAGAAAAAAGAGAGTAGTCTATGGTGCAAGTTTATTGTAGTAGAGGATAGAAAAATCGGCACTGCTGGTTTTCTCTCCATTTCGAGCGTCCACGTGTGGGCCCATGTCGCTTGGACTTCGCTCGACCGCGCCTGTGTCACCCACGCCCGTGCTGGGGCCCACGTCGCCCGAACGCTGCCCGCGCGGGGACTACTCACGCCCCCCTCCCGCTTCCCTGGCGCTACCATGTGCAACACCCGATCTACTTTTAAAACATCTAGATGCAACACTTGCAACATACAAAAAAACACAGATGAAACACTTGAAACATTCATATGAAACACTTGTAAAAACAATTGGAAACCATTGCAAACATACGCAAACATCTAGATAAAACACTTGCAACAGATGTGTGAAACATATGCAACATCCAGATAAACACACTTGCAACGTACGTCTGAAAAAAAACAGATGAAACATTGGGGACATACACTTGCAACGTACGTGTACAACAACATATGTAACATTCCGATCTACTTTTGCAACATCCGTGTGAAACAATTGAAACATATGTCCAAAGCATATGAAACATTTCAAATGTACAATTGCAACATGCATCATATCCTAGTGCGACCTCCTTCGTCGTCTGCATTGGGGCACCACAGTCGTAGCAGGAGGCGAGGCCGGAGGACTTCCACGCCAAGGCCCAGCGCTTCTCCTTGCGCTGGCGTCGTCGTCGAGCAGGGCGAGCAGTGGAGCGGGAGCAACACCACGAGCAGCGGGGCGGGCGCGCAGAGCATCAGCTAGAACAATGGCAGGAGGAGCGGGGCAGGCGCGCAGAGCATCGGCAGGAACAACAGCTGGAGGAGCAGGACGGGCGGCGGAGTGGGCCATGGACAGGTGTCACATGGTCCCACACCCCTACATCCATCCGATACTCGAGTAAAGGTGAGACCCTCGTATCAAAGAATTGCTGTGGAATAATGGGACGCTAATTGCATGGCGTCCTAGAGTTTTTGTGTGGCGTGCCATGGCAGCCCGCAGAGGATACACACGTCGCCACCGCATCTCGTCCCAAAGCTTTGATTGGACTTGGAAGGAGACGTACGGACGGTGCTCTCGGCCTGCCCATTCGGTGCCAATTATTTAGCATCAATTCTGGAAAACTTGGGTTAATTAATAGAGGAAAAGACAAGGGATAACGATAACGACAGGCACTGGCTTTTAGACCAAATTACAACTAAATATGGTCAGCATTAGTGTTACCACAGTACAGCCTCCCACTACGTGAAAAATAGTTTGTAGCAACGGGACTTTTTTTTTAAGGGGCGGCTGGCATTGGAGCCGTCTCTACAGTGACGTACTCGAACTCCAGCACAGCAACCGCCTCTACAAATGGCACAGTAGGGGCGGCTGTTAATACGAGCCGCCCCTACAAATACGTCGATTTGTAGGGGCGGCTGGTATTACGAGCCGCCCCTGCTACCAGCAAGCCACGTCGCCCCGATTCACCCCAAATAAATGGATGCCTCCCCTTCGCGAAAAAACGGTCTCCCTCCCACGCCCGGCCTCCCCTCCCGCTCGTCTCGCTCACGCTCCTCTCGCGGCGCGCCGCCTCCGCCGCTCGCATCCCGTCCCCTCCCCTGCCCCCGCCTCCCCTCCCTCTCCCTCTCCTTCTCCCTCTCTACCTCTCTCTCTCGATGTGGTGGCGCACCGGCGCGGGCACCTCCACGTGTGCACGGCCTGGGCGGCGCCGCCGCCGGTATGCGCCGCAGCCGCGCCGACAGGCCCGGTGGTGTCCGCCTCCTGCCACGACGCGGTGCCCGCGAGCCCCACCGCTAGCCGCGGCGCGTGGCTGCCCCCCGGTGCAGCTTGCTCCCTGCGGTCCTCGCATCGACTCAGATCTGGGGCGACGAGATAGGGTTCGTGTTTTCTTCTTCAATTCCTCCATTTTCCTCCGTCGATCTGGTCAAGCTAGTTGTATGGTGATGTAATCTGACTATGGTTTCGTATTTTTCCACTGAATTGTTCTGTATTTTCGATTTTCCTTTGGATGTGTAGCTCTGATTTCATTGTTGTTCTATCTCTGCAGGTAGTAGTTTATTAATCTGTGACCTAATGCCTGTGTATGTTCTCTGTAAAGCTAGGATAAGAAGTATAACTATCTTTGGAACTGCAAAGACTATCTCGACTCAGTGAAGACTTTCTTCAGAAATCAATCTATTAACTTATTTTCTGAGGCTAGCAGATCACTTTACTGATTTTGTTCTGGCACATGGGAATAGGCATCTAGGATAATATTAGCAACTGATGATGATGATCCAGGTCAGGCTCTGGCCGAGGAACTTGCTCGTCGACTTGGTAAAGAAAGGTTTGTGCATCAGCATGCTTTAACTATTGTGAAATAAAATGTTATGTGACCATTCATTTTTTTTTTCATTTCCTTTTTCCCATTTGATTTGATGCAATCAGATGTTGGAGAGTCAAGTGGCCAAAGAAGAATGATACAGATACTTGCAAGGATGCAAATGAGGTTTGTTATGGATTGCATGGGTTCATTTGACATATTCTTGAAATCAGTTCTTGGAACTTGGGTAGTCTTTTGTCATTATGTAATCAGTCCTTATAACACCTTTTTTTTTATCCTACAGGTACTGATGTTTTTAGGTCCACAAGCATTGAGAAAGGTTATAGAAGATGCAGAACTGTATCCTATAAGAGGCCTTTTTTCATTCAAAGATTTCTTCCCAGAGATTGATAATTACTTTCTTGGAATACATGGTGATGAGCTTGGTATTCATACTGGATGGAAATCTTTGGATGATCTTTACAAGGTAAAAAAAGTTTTATTGCATTATTCAATATTCCTTAGTTCATTGGTGAAGGTGGGTTCTCAAGAAGAGTTAGCTTTCTTTATTATAACAGTAATGCTTTTGCGTGCCTCATCACAGGTACTTTGCTCACAGAAGTTGAATTTGGCAATCTGTTTTCTTTGTTTACCATATGATACTATTTCATTCAATTTACTGTCAATATGTTCAGTACAGCAATGCCTTGATTTTGTCCTATAAATCTGTCTATACTCATTCTTTATCTGGCTAATTTTTAATTGAAAGTGGCTTATCCTTTTGTTCTGTGATCGTTAAGTATCACCTGAACAAACTTACATGGCTAGTGAGCATAGAAAAGATGGGAGCATGCTAGGAAACTCTTAGAGAAGCACATTTGGAAAGCATGATGGAAACAACAGGGGTAATTAACTAATAATAGCACTATTGCCTGCATTGCCCAGTTTGTAGCAAGGACATAGGGTATTCGTAAGCTGTGTCGTAGGATTCAAATGGTGAGATGTTGTGTGAATATAACTCATTGCCTACTGCCTAGCTTATAACAAGTGGAAATGAGTTTGAGCTCATTTTTTGCAATGCCATGTCTTCAATTGGTATTGAATCTCTGCCTGGTTGCTTGAGTTATTTCTACTGAATATAGCCGAATGTGGTTCCAGTTCTGAATGTCAGTTAATAAATCTGTTTGAACAATTTCACCTCTCTAGCTAGTTTCTAGAGACATGTATATATCTACTAATAGCTGAGATCTACTAATAGCTGAAGTTGGCTCTAAATATATTTGCACACTGAACTTTTGCATTGTTTTTCCACGGCTACTATTGTTTTTCCAAGGTGGTGATTACCTTCTCTTTATTGTTCAACATGAAGTTCATTGGACTTTCGCTGCAAACACTTGTCCTTTTTCCTGGATTGTATCACTTTGCAGAATTCCTCTTCTTAACATAAATTAGTCACAAGTTTTGAACCCTGCACCACTTTGACTAGTGCAGCAGCCGAGAATCAAGTAGATTATGCTAAACTTAGAGCCACCCTGTGCTAGGATAAAAATATGCACAAGCGTAACAACCTCATCTTTGTGAAAACTCTCATACCTGTGAAAGTACTCCTTATTCATGTCATGTACTCATGTCTTTGTGAAAGTGCTAAGATGAATAACGTGTTAGACAATGATACATCTTTTTCATGTCTTTCATGTATTGCTCTGCACAGCATATAAATCTGGTTAAAACATTGTCTTGGTTTTGATTTGCACAGTGCTGATGGATAGCCACAAGGAGAACGATGCAATAGCGGAACTCAGCCGTGCGATATCCTTCAAAGCCGACCTGCACTTGCTGCATCTCCGGGCTTATTTCAATGTTTGAATTATTAGTTCTTGATGAAATGAGAAGAAACTTCTAACCCTCTTTGCCAATTTATTATATATTAGACATATCTACTTGTACTACACATACTACCTCTATTTTTTGTTTTGTTAGCACTTGAGTGCTTGCTTGGTCTTTTTTGTGATATAGATATATGTTTTGTTGTCATAATATGAGTATGTTTGTTATTATTGTGATTCTTGTACTATAGAAGATGTTTAAAAACTTTTGGCTAAACAATCTTATTTGAGCCACAATATTACAGTCAAGTTTGCCATGATACTTGATCATGTATTTTACTCGTCACAGGATGATTTGGGGGGGCATGTGTTGGTAATTTGAATTTTTTTGGCGGAAAAATATACTGTAGGGGTGGTTGGTACTGTAGCCGCCTCTACAAATAGGTACTGTAGGGGCGGCTGGTACTGTAGCCGCCCCTACAAATCAATTTGTACGGGCGGTCTGAAAACCGTCCCTACAAATGCATAATTTGTAAAGACGGTATGATATGGACGGCTGGCCGAGCCGCCTCTATAAACCATCGCCAGCCGCCCCTACAAATGCTTTTTGTAGTAGTGTCCTATACGCAACATGATGTTCCCCTCTCAGCAGCAAGACAGTGACTTAATGGATGATCTCATGTAAGGGTTGCAATAAAAGTTTTGTTTTTATAAAAATAATGCAGTTCTAGTTCTAGCTGTAAAATAGATTTTCCTTTGCACTTCTTGACAAATAAAATAGATTTTCCTTTCGGTGAGCCTTGACACGGCATAGTTGAATTGTCGCTAACCTTAGATGTCTTGACATGTACAACAAACTGTGGCTCGGAAATTTTTGGATTTTGCTCTTATATATTCCCTCTATTTCTGTTCTACTTGTTGAATATAAGCATGATCTCATTAATTAGTGTAACTACAATTAATTGGAAGATTTTTCACGGAAAAACTACTAATATCATTTTCATGAGATAAGCCTTAAGAAAATTGTATGTTGTGGTGATTAAATTTCAAAAGTCAGACTATTCACTTCTGCACACAAAAAAAAAACATTTGAGAAACAAATAAAAAAACAACCACTTTGATCGAGCATTCCTTTGTGTGTTGACAAAGAAATATTTTGCATTGAATATTACTACTCCCTCCGTCCCTAAAAAAAGAGTCATTCTCGATTTTCCAAAAATCAACAATTTTAACTTTGACCAAATATATTTAATAAAATATTAATATTTATGGTACTTAATTAGTATTATTAGGTAGATCGTTGAATATACTTTTATAATAAACTTATTTAGAGATATAAATGTTGTCACGTATTTTCTACAAACTTAGTCAAAGTTAAGAAAATTTGACCAGTACGATTCCCATAGCGACTCTTTTTTATGGATGGAGGGAGTATAGGCCTGGTTCTCAGGAATTGGAAACTAGCCTAATATTGAAATGAGAAACATTTTCTAGATATTGATTTTAATTCATGTGATCTGAAACAAGCCCTTATATTTTTGGATAGACTAATTTGATTCATTTCCATCCGAAAATTAATTTAGTATTTAAAGTTTTAAACCCACTATAGCTACTGTATATATGATCCCCGATACAACCTCTTGAACTTACCGAAACTTAATCTGGCACTAGCAACTATCTCATCATTGGAAAAACAAACCATAACAAAATGGCTTATTTAGTCGCAGTACATTCACGTGCCAATCGTGCAAAATGCTCCTACAATCCTACACCAAACTACACATACTCACAGCTTGCATATATACAGCAGTCTCACTGTTCCATTATAAAATATTCTCCCCCAACAGAAAAAAAAAATTTAAACATGCTGACATTATATATATGCATAGAATGCCCCCAATCCAAGAACCGAGACGAGCAACATTCGAACGGATGGTTCGGCTGATCAACTTTTGGAGTTGGAATTCAGGGAGCTAGCTAGCTAGGCTCGTGGTGCAGCCGAACTCGACCTCGACGACGGCCATGGACAGCACCGCATTCTTGCCTGAAATACCCCAAGCAGCAGGAGCATTGGAGACGAAAGGCACATGCTGCCTGCCTGCACGCCAGCTTCCCTTTCCTTCCCGCCGTTTTGGCGTTTTCAAATCGCAAGCAACTTCTCCCAGCCAAGTGTTTCCCAGTTCTCGCCAGCAGCTTTATATATAGCACGTACACCACCACAAGCTTCAGTCAGCAACGTGTGCAGCGACTAGACGTACACACATGGCAGTGGCGGCGTCTATCTCTGGATCCCGCACCTCCTACCCTAGCGTCCCAATGTCCCGCTGCGGCCGGCGGCGCACCACCGTCATCAGGAGCTCCTTCGCGCCCTGCTCGCCGGCGTCGACGCCCTCGACGCTGCGGATCGGCAGCAAGTGGGCGGAGCTCCAGGGCGCGCGGGACTGGGACGGCCTGCTGAGCCCGCTGGACGGCGCGCTCCGGGGCGAGCTGGTCCGGTACGGGGAGTTCGTGCGCGCAGCCTACGCCAGCTTCGACTTCGACGGCGGCGCGCCGTCCTACGGCTCCTGCCGGTTCCCGAGCCGCTCCCTGCTGCGCCGCGCGGGGATGCCAGGGACAGGGTACCGGGTCACGAGCCTCCTCCACGCCGCGTCCACCTCGGCGCCCGGGTGGCTGCCGTCGTCGCCACCCTGCGGATCCAGCTACATCGGCTTCGTGGCCGTGTGCGACGACGAGCGCGAGATCGAGCGCCTCGGCCGCCGTGACGTCGTGGTCGCGTTCCGCGGCACCGCCACGTGTGGCGAGTGGGTGGACAACTTCAAGTGCGGCCTGACACGGCTCCCGATCCCGACGATCGGCGGGGAGGAGGAGGAGGAGGAGGCGATGGTGGAGAGCGGGTTCTGGAGGCTCTTCACGGCGCCAGGCGAGGCGCACAGCAGCCTGCAGCAGCAGGTGCGCGACGAGGCGCGGCGGATCGCCCACGAGTACGGCGGCAGCGGCATGCCGCCGCTGAGCATCACGGTGACGGGGCACAGCCTCGGCGCCGCGCTTGCGGTGCTGACCGCCCACGAGATCGCGACGACGCAGCAGCAGCAGCGACTGGAACACGGCGAGCCGGCGATGATGGTGACGGCCGTGTCGTTCGGCGGGCCGCGCGTGGGCAACGCGGGGTTCCGGCGCAGGCTGGAGCAGAGCGGCGGCAAGGTGCTCCGCGTGGTGAACTCGGACGACATCGTGACCAAGGTGCCGGGGTTCCCGGTGCATGACTACGGCAACGGCGGCGATGAGCCGGCGAAGGGGATGATGAAGGCGAGGGTGCCGAAGTGGCTCGTCTCCAAGATGGGGTGGGCGTACGCCGACGTGGGGCGCGAGCTGCGGCTGAGCCAGGCTGGCTTGGCGCCCAACGTGGTGGCCTCGCATGACCTCGACTTGTACCTCAAGCTCGTCGCTTCCTGCACAGACTAGATAGGAAAATGACCTACGTAGACACGTAGTGCTCCACTGTACCAGTCTAACAGTACTATATATTAGAGAATTTGCTAATCTAGTGACTAGTTTGTGCATACAAATTACAATGTTTGATGTTATATGAGGTAGTTGTTCTAGAACAAAGCGACTAGAAGACACGTCTCACTCTGCTGCGTGCGTGGCCTACAAAACGACCTCGAGCTCCGGGGTCCAAGCTTGTCTACTACGGAGTACCATCTTGCAAATCACTTACATTTCCTGCTCCGCAGATTGACGTCTTCGTCTAACTCCATTGATATTGGCCGACAAAAGGACTTGGTCATTTTTACCATCTCATATAGGACTTGATCGTTTTTACCATGCATCTTCAGTTGGTTAAATGTGTGAGCTTCTTTCTCACATCAACACCACTATGTTTTGTAATATCCTTAGCATGAACAGAGTCATCCAACACCGAGTCATCCACGGACGATAGCGTATTATGTCTACATTGTCCTAGAGAAAGAGGGAACAAACTACATTGTCTTCTTCATGAGCGACATTTGTATATCTTTTTCTCGAATCACGATGCTAATAAATTACACAATACAATGCATGCACACTCACCTCTATGAATGCACCCACGCAAACACTACCCGTATGAGCATCTTCGAAGACTGGCAATGGTCCATACTTTATCAAGATTGGCAAAGGAACTTCGATTTTATTTTCTCTGATTATTGTGGCAAGCCTTTTAAAATTAGGAAAAAACATAACAAAATAGATTAATGGACAAAAAACATTCACATTCAATTTTGCTAGAATTGTCCTTTTCGAAAACGAGTTTGAGATCAATCTTAAACGTGAGCAGGATTCCAGATAACAACCAGGATGACTAAGTATCCTGTCATTGATCAGTCATCAGTGGATAACCACTGAATTCATGGAGATTCGGCAAAGGTGGACTACCACATCTGGAAGGCATGGAAAACATGACATTCGTTCAAAGGACAGACCAGAATCAACAAAAAACAGCGGGGGGGGTGGTGTTCCAAAGCAGATGGCAATATTGCCAGCATTCCATCAACAACAGCTATTCACAGCTCTCACCAGATTACAAATGCCTGCAATACAACACTTTCGGACAGTGCATATAGCTGATTCATTGTAAAAAGTGCTTTGCCTTTATTTAATCAAGAAAATGTTACATACAGACATATTTCTTCCACATTTTCAGGTCAAGAGCTCAACATGTCACGCCGGCACCTGAACACAGCTGCGAGCTAAACATGGTGTTGTAACTAGTATATTATAAGTTGGGCAATGCTATGGTACAAACTTTACCTCTGAGGAGGTAATATTCAAATCAATCTGAGCCATTGATTTTTCACAATTTATAAATTACTTAATAAATTAAAAAAAATCTAGGAAAACAAAATAAAATCTCGCCACATCCCCCTAATGACGGGAGGGAAATAGGAAGACATGCATGCTGATTCCCCACATGCACACGCTAGCTAGCCCCTTCCTTCCGTGGAGACGAGTTTTAAATTTGAACATGCACAATTATTTATTCTAATAAAATAATAGATAAAGTAAGTGGATATTTGTTGTCTTCAAAATCAAGTTGAAATCCAAATATAAATTTAAATTTGAACTATTCAATTCATATACACATACAATACGTGTGATGTTTCCAGCGAAATATCAACAGATTAATATAGTTTTTATCAGTATTAGAGCTTGCAGCAATTAAACAAAATGTCACTAAATTAATATATAAAGGAGGAGGGTTGTGTTAAGTGCGGCGAGCCAATATAAAAACTTAGTCACTTTAATGGAGATGAAACCCAAAAGAATCCTATTGGGGCGTAACCCTCTTAGCGACGCGCCATATCGGAACCCGGGTATGGTGTTAAATGAGCAAGGGCCGGGTCGTCACCCCCGTGACGTGCCGTGTCGCGATCTGGACATGGTGTCAAGTGAGCAAGGATCGAGTCATCGCATTCTTAGTGGTGCGCCATATCGGCGCCCGGGTGTGGTGCAAAATGAGCAAGGGTCTTCACACCTACCTCGGTGATGCGAAGGGTAAGGAAGCTAGTCGAGTCAACTAAGATCCGTTTAGGTAACTAGAATGTAGGGTTCCTTACAAGTAAGCTAAGAGAGTTAGTGGACACAGCGGTTAGGAGACGTGTAAATATCTTATGCGTCCAAGAGACTAAATGGAAGGGGCAGAAGGCGAAGGAGGTGGATAATACCGGCTTCAAGTTCTGGTACACAGGGACAACTTCAAATAAAAATAGAGTAGGAGTTTTGATTGATAAGAGCCTCAAGGATGGTGTGGTGGAGGTGAGAAGGAAAGGGGATATGATCATCTTAGTTAAACTTGTCATTAGTGATATGGTCTTAAATGTAATTAGTGTGTATGCCCGCCAAGTAGGCCATGATGAGAGTGCTAAGCGGCTTTTCTGGGAAGACTTAGATTGCTTGGTTAGAGTTGTCCCTACTAGCGAGAAGCTCTTTATAGGAGATGATCTTAATGGCCATGTAGGTACATCAAATGCAGGTTTCGAGGCGGTTCATGGGGGTTTTGGATATGGTAGTAGGAACCGGGAGGAGAGGAAGTCTTAGACTTCGCTATAGCTTTTGATCTAATGATAGCTAACACTTTCTTCCATAAGAGATAGTCCCATTTAGTGACCTTTAGTAGTGGCCAGTACTCTAGTCAAATCGACTTTGTCCTTATAAGAAGGAGGGATAAACGAACATGCGTGGACTATAAGGTGATACTTGAAGAATGTGTGGTCGCTCAACACAAGCTGGTGGTGATTAACTTCCGCTTTCTGATGCAAGCTCGTGGGAACAAACAAGCTAGGGTTGCTAGAACGAAGTGGTGAAAATTAGAAGGGGAGGCATCAAAGGTCTTTAAGGAAAAGATCATTGAAGAGGGCCCTTGGAATGATGAAGACGATGCAAACAACATGTGGGAGAAAATGGCAACATGCGTTCGGAAGGTTGCTTCAGAGGTGCTTGGAGTGACCAAAGGGAGCGGATGCGACTCGAAAGACACTTGGTGGTGAAATGAAGATATGCAAAAGGCTATTAAGGAAAAGAAGGAGTGCTATAAGCGCTTGTATCATGATAGGTGTGCAAACAACATAGAGAAGTACAAGGTGTCAAAGAAGACTGCAAAACGAGCGGTGAGTGAGGCAAAGGGGCGGGCCTATGAGGACCTTTATCGACGTTTGAGTATGAAGGAAGGAGAGAAGGACATTTATAGGATGGCTAGGGCTCACGATAGGAAGACAAGGGACTTCAACCAAGTCAAGTGCATAAAGGATGAGAGGGAGCAACTCTTGGTGAAGGAGGATGAGATCAGACATAGATGACAAGAGTATTTTGATAAATTATTCAATGGTGAGAATGAGAACACCACCGTTCAGCTGGACGACTCATTTGATGACACTAACAGGCGCTTTGTGCGGAGGATTCAAGAATCAGAGGTTAGAGATGCCTTGAAAAGGATGAAAGGGGGCAAAGCGATGGGCCCTGATGGTATCCCAATCAAGGTGTGGAGATGTCTCGAGGATATAGCTATAGTATGGCTAACCAAGATGTTCAACAATATCTTTCGATCGAACAAGATGCCTGAGAAGTGAAGAAGAAGCATATTGGTATCAATCTACAAGAACAAGGGAGATATCCAAAGTTGTACTAATTATCGGAGAATTAAGTTGATGAGCCACACTATGAAGTTATGGGAGAGAGTTATCGAGCAGCGCATGCGAGGAATGACATAGATATCAACAAACCAATTTGGTTTAATGCCCGGAAGGTCAACCACAGAAGCAATCTTCTTAATAAGGTAGGTTATGGAGCGGTTTAGAGAGCAGAAGAAGGACCTCCACTTGGTTTTCATTGACTTGGAGAAGGCTTATGACAAGATAACAAGAAATGTTATGTGGTGGTCTTTGGACAAACATAAAGTCCCAACAAAGTACGTGACCCTCATCAAGGACATGTACAATAATGTTGTGACTAGTGTTCAAACAAACGATGGTAACACAGATTACTTCCCGATTAAAATTGGACTTCATCCAGGGTCAGCCTTAAGCCCGTATCTCTTTGCCTTGGTAATAGATGAGGTTACCAGGAACATACAAGAGGATATCCCTTGGTGTATGTTGTTCGATGATAATGTTGTGTTAGTGGACGAAAGCCAGACGAGAGTTAATAGGAAACTAGAGTTATGACCGTAGACCCTTGAGTCTAAAGGTTTTAGATTGAGCAGAACTAAAATCAAATACATGAGATGCGACTTTAGCGGAGTTGTAAAGGAGGAGAGAGATGTGAGTTTGGAGATGTGCTTAAGAAGGATACCTTTTGGTATCTGGGATCGATGCTACAGAGGGATAGAGATATTGATGCGGACGTTAGCCATAGAATCAAAGCAAGGTGGATCAAGTGGCGACAAGCTTCTGGCATTCTCTATGACAAGAGGGTACCACAAAAGCTAAAAGACAAGTTCTATAGAACGGAGATTAGATCGGCTATGTTGTATGGAGCATAATGTTGACTACAAAGATTCGACATGTTCAACAACTGAGTGTTGCAGAAATGTGTATGTTGTGATGGATTTGCAGTTACACAAGAATGGACCGAGTTCGGAACGATGATATACGTGATTGCCTAGAGATAACATCAATTGAAGAAAAGCTTGTCCAACATCGGTTGAGGTGGTTTGGCCATGTTCAAAGGAGACCTCCAGAGGCACCAGTTCATTGTAGAGTCCTAAGCCAAGCTAATAATATGAGGAGAGGTAGAGGAAGACCGAAATTGACATGGGGGAGGCAATAAAAAGATATTTGAAAGCTTGAGATATACCTAGAGATCTATGTTTGAATAGGAGTACTTGAAAAGCAGCTATTGAAGTGTCTGAACCGTGACTTGGGGCTCTTGGTGGGTTTCAACTCTAGCCTACACTAACTTGCTTGGGACTGAAAGGGTATATTGTTATTGTTGTTGTCACTAAATTAATATATAACATAGAAACGTTTATCAAATTCTAAAGTTACAAACATATTTTTTATCAAACTCTAAAGTTACAAATGAAATTACGTTACATGCACTAACACATTACCCACCACTCACCTAACACGCACACACAGGCTAATAATATGCATACACATGGTAAAAATCATGTCACGTGTCCACTCTCACCTAAAATGCATACACATGCTAAAAGTTTAATGCAAATCAAAATATATCAAGTTCAAAGTTATAAAATAAAAAAGATTTACCATATCTATCAGATCACGGATGTATCAATCATATCTTAGAAAAAGATTTTCTATACCTAAAACTTTCCTTATTTATCCTATTTTATAAAATAAAAAATTAATAAATATACATTTCATCTATTAATAATTCATCGTGACCGTTCGATCGAAATCAATGAATGACTCATAGTTATTTGGGGATACCGCAGCAAAGCCCTCGTAAGTTACACTTACACCGGTGCTAGGAGAAACAAAAAATGATCGACCACCTTCAGCCACATTGTTTCTTTGTGCTAGGCAAATCATCATCGTAATGACCGCCATCATCCGCCCCGTCTTTGTCACCCTTCTTTCGAGCCAGGATCTTGTTTATCTTGTGGAGGACATTGGTGAGCTTTTGGTCCTTGTTCTGCTTCCTCGTCTTCCTGCCGTCCTGCATCTTCACCCCAAACTGGAAGGCAGCCTTTGGCATGGCTTCTTTCTGATCGTTGTACTTCGCCCACTCCTCTTCCGTCTCAAAATCCCACCTGTGAAGGCGGCCCTTAGCCTGCTCAAGAATGATATATCAGAATACACAATATAGAGATGGTCCCAAAAAATTATGTATTGTTCCACAACAAATGTGATCATGGAATTGAGTAACCATTTTAAACCAAAAGCCATAATTGCAACAGAAGCAACGGCTACTACTCCCTCCATTTCAGAATGCAAGACGTTTTAGTTTTGTCCTAATCCAAACTTGTAAGTCTGTAAGAAAATATATTCACATCTACAATATCAAATAAATGCACTATCAAAATATATCATGGTGTATCTAATGAACCTTCAACCTTGTTTGATGTTGTAGATGTTTGTGCATTTATCTATAAGCTTGATCAGAGCTAGAGAAGTTTGACTTATGACAAAAACTAAAACATCCTAAAATTTGAAACTGAGGGAGTATATCAAAAAGTAAAAATCAGAACATGTGCAGACCAAATAATAAATAGGAATATCAGGATAGCAGTTTTGGGGTCATGCTCAATACCGGAAACAATAGTTAATGAAAAGTATGGTCTAACCAGAGCAGTTAGATTATTTTCTAATATCCAAATCCATAATGAAGAAAAACGATGCAGAAACAGCTTATCAGTGCAAGTCAACTCAAAAGCAACATCAACATAAAAAATTACTATGGGATGGTTATCTACTGCGATTTCACAGGAACCATTGTCACAAGCATAGACTCATATCAGCAAGGGAACTAATCATTTCACTTACCCGTCCACCCATATCCATCTTTGATAAATCATCTTCATCATCACTCTCTGCAATCTCATTATTATACTCCTGGTAACCAGGATAACACTCTGAGTAACTTTCCGAAATAAAATTTGGATCTCTCTCTCGTGCATCTTTTTCCCTCAGCTGATTAAGCCTTTGGTCATCACGTTTGAAAACAGAACCTAGACCCCGATCCTTTTCTGCTTGAGTCATGAACCTTGGATCCTGGGATATACTAGGGTCAGCCAGTACATCATATTCCTCGGTACTTTGTTGCACATACTGTTCTTGATAACCCAATGGCTGTTCTGCATACACATAGCCTGACCAATCGCCTTGCTATCCAGCAGCTGCCATCTGGGCTTGAACAACATCATACATGTAACACCCTAAAATTTGCTCCTTTTTAAATAGATGTAAATTGAGTTAATTTTGAATTTTTGTGCTCATAAAATATAAGAAAAATAATAATTTTCATTGAATTAAAATTTATCATAGGAATTTAGCTATATTTTTGTGCATTCATGCTGATGCATACTTATTTTTGTGATGAGCGGTTTTGTCCAAAAATTCAAAATAATTTCAGATGCTTTTGAAATGGTTTGAAAATGGATTTAAAAATAGAATTTAGTAAAAAGAAAAAAATAAAAATAGAAAAACTCTTCTCCCTCTCTTTCATTTCGGGCCCAAAGCCCTGCCCCTCTCCCCTCTCTCCTTGGCGCCGGCCTTACCCCGCGGCCCATCTCCTTCTCCCTCTTCCCGCAACCCAGCTGGCGGCCCAGCAGGAAAGCCCACGCGCGGACGCACCCGCCTCCTCTCTTCCGCCATGTTCCACTGACGCACGGGCCCCGCTCCCTCGGTCGCCGACTGGTGGGACCTGTCTATCAGTGTTCTTCCTCCTTGCGACATAGCCGCCTAGGACTCTCCGCCGCGCCATGGAAGCCCGATGCCGCCATGTCTCCGTGCCTTGCCGTGCGTGCCAAGCTCCCTGGGCCATAAATAGCAACCGCCCGCACCGCGCCGATACCCCGCATAACCCTCAGCAGCAGCCGCCTCGCTCGCTGAGTCATCGCGCCACCATCGCAGCCCTAGCTCCGCCATAGCCATCCATCGCCGAGCACCGTGCGTTGTCTCCGTGTCGTCTCCAACCGCAAAAAGTGCCGAGGTGAGTTCGCCTCGCCGTCCTCTTTCTCCCCGTGTAATCCCCGCGTCGAATCGTGGTCTCTAGGACCATTTTGGGTTGCGCCGATGAGCTCGGTCACCGCTGGCCATGTCCACCGCCGCCTCCTCTCCTATTCTGGCCGGCAACCTCTCTCTCCTGCTGGATCTAATCCCCACCGTCCAGTCTCAATCCAACGATCCAGATCACGCGATACCCCTTCGCCTGCTAATTTTGCATAAGAGCCCCCGCAAGATTTTAAGTTCCAACCCGCAATCCATGGTGTATTCCCATAATATGTTTTCCTATTCTGAAAGCGTAGTTTCCTTCTAGTAGATTCAAAATACATTTTATCTATTTACAGTTTTGCCACTAACCTTGTTTAGGCCATAACTTCTTCGTTTTAACTCCGATTTGACCCGTTCAAGTTGTGTTAGATTCGTGATTGCGTAATTTACATGTTCATCCTACTGTTAAATATATGTTCAACTTTTGAAATTTTAGGTTAGATTTAATCTGTTATTTTATTAAAGGAAATCTTGTTTAATTCATAATTTTTCTGTTATAGCTCCGATTAGCGTGCTTTTCGCATCTATGTGTTCGTAGCAACATATAGAACATCTTTAAAACCTTTTTACTTGCTGGTGTACTATTCTAATTTAGTTCTATTATTTGCTTCTTGTATGATTGTATGGATGTTTGTGTGGTGCTTTATGAATATGTCCAGTCGGTGAGCTATACGTGTGAATCAAGAAGCATATCTTTGAAGATTTGGACTAGAAGAAGATCAGAGTTTTAAGGCAAGTATAGCATGGGATCTTCCTTGTTGTCCTATACACCTTTAATCATTTAATGCATATGCATGTGTCTATCTTGGCAACTGTAGTAATTTTCCTAGCTATTTAATATCCTGGATTCCTTGTTACCTATAGGGTATTGCATTGGGTAGTATGATGCTAATGCTCAATTAAAGACTATGATCTTGTAACTTGACTAATGGAATATGCAATAAACATTAAAAGATGTTTTTAGCAACATGGAATCAAGGGGGCTAGAGCATTGGGTGATTTTATGGTGCTCTAGATTCCTCTCCCTAAGGACTTATCTGTAAGTGATCATATGGGGCTTACAGTACAACTGTGAGGGCCACATGGCTCTGGCTTTAGCTCAGTATGAGGACTTATTCTAGCTTGTTAGAGGTTACCTTTGTTGGCGTAAGAATGGCTTGACGAAACGGGTATAGTGCGGCCTCTGTCCCCTTGTGTATAGGCTGCGTGTCATTGTGCCATCGGGAAGGGGGGATCTACATCTATTTGCTGAGTGAATCTAATGGCCCTAACTTGTTAGACGAACCTTTGAAAGGCTTCTTAGTGAACCCTGCTGACCTTCCTTGGTAGTGGGTCAAGAGGCTGATCACCTCAGGAGAAAGGGTAAATCACGACTCATAGTGAAAGTGTACAACCTCTGCAGAGTGTAAAACTGGTATATCAACTGCGCTCATGGTTGAAAGCATCTAGGCCCCTAGTTGGGTTTCGATGATTAATGACGACACGAGATTACTATGACTAACGTGTGTTTTGTAGAGGCAATTTGAGTTAGATCATGGTAATGGAAATTGATTGGGCAATCATGGTTGTCATGCCCCTATCGATGGAAATCATTTTGGTTTTCAAAGGATGGACGATAAGGTTAAGGATGGACTAGTTCTAAGTGTTGTTTGGTGTTGGAGAGACAGTTAGAGTAGTTTAGGACTTTGTTTTTCCTTTGACCATACTATTAAGGGGGGTATGGACTAGTAGCTTGACCTAGGTGAGTCTAGTGGGTTAGGTGTGGTGCACACTTGTCAAACCTAGCACTAGGTAGCTCAGGAATAGCCCTAGGATCAATTGGAGCTAACTTCATTCACATAGGATTTTGAGTTGGAAGTGAATGGAGGGTCAAATGACTAACCGGACGCTGGTCTGGTTGTGACTGGACACTGGAGGGTGAGATCGGTCAGTTCATTTGATCAACTGCAGTCGTCTGGTACTGACCGAATGCTGAGTGGAGGAGCACCGGATGTTGGGGTGCCTGCGTTCGGTCAACTCCAGAGATGTTCTAGAGAGGCTTTTTCTTGACCTGACGCATTCAGTGTGTGCTGATCAGACTTTGGTTAGAGTCTGGTCAATCTACTATAGTCATCTAGTACTGACTGAACACTGAGTGGAGGTGCTGATCGGACGCTGGGGTGCCTGCATCCGGTCCACTCCAGAGAGGTTCTAGAAAGGCTCTTTCTTGACCGGACGCATCCGGTGGGTGCTGAACGGACGCTGGTCAGAGTTTGGTCAGAGCTTAATGGCTCTCTCTAACACAGAGGAGGGTACAACTGACCGGAGCATTCGGTCACCCTGACCGGAGCATCCGGTCATCCCACAGAGTGCTGACTCAGCCTCCAAATGTTACATTTTGAATGAGGGGGTATAAATACTTACTCCACTCGTCCATAGGAAGTCTCTTGCCCATTTGTTCAGCTGACAAACACCTTTGGAGTGCAAGGGTGACCAAGAGCCTAGTGAGGTGATTGAGATTTGATAATCCAAGATTAAGGACCTCATTAGTGCATAGGGAGCAGCAAGTGTGCATCCACCCTTCTCATTAGGCTTGTCTTGGTCAAGTGAGAGTTTGTGCTTGTTACTCTTGGTGGTCGCCATCACCTAGATGGCTCGGTGGTGATTGGGAGCTTGGTGATCATTCGACGGAGCTTGTGGATGACCCAAGTGATGTTGTGAGCGGTTGTGGGCAATTCACCATGATGGAATCTCAAAGAATCAGCCCATAGAGAGCACTTGATCCTTGCGCGGATCAATGGGGAGCTACACCCTTGCGCGGGTGCTCCAACGAGGACTAGTGGGGAGTGGCGACTCTCTGATACCTTGGGAAAACATTGCCGTATTCCTTTCTCTCTCTTTACTTTGAGCATTTACATTTGAGCAATTCATTTCATGTCTTTATATTCCTAGAATTACCATGCTAGAGTAGGATTGGAACCTAGGGTGCAAAACTTTTGTGTCGAAGAACAATAGAAACACATTCTAGACACAAGGGGTGAAGTGGGCTAAGTATAGGACTTAATTATTGCAAAAATTTAGAATTAGCCTAATTTCACCCCCCCCTCTTGGGCATCTTGATCCTTTCAATTGGTATTGGAGCCTCATGCTCCCTAAATTAGGCTTAAGCGCCTAGAGCAAGATGTCCCATGGAGATGGACCATCTCCTATCTTTGAGGGAGATGATTTTTCTTATTAGAAAATTCACATGGAGGCATACCTAGAGGCCTTAGATGTTGAGTTCTTAGATCCGCCTCACAAGGCTTTCCAAAACCTAAGGATCCCACCAACCCTCAAGGTGATGAGGTTAACTACAAGAAGTGGAATGCAAAGGCTAGAAACACCCCCTTTAGAGGCCTTTGCAAGGATGTTTTTAATTGTGTGTGGAACCACAAAGATGCCCATGCACTATGGTCGGATATTTATGCGCTCCATGAGGGAACCAAGAGTGATCTCGAGGAACGCTACCACCTTGTGATGAAAAAGCTTAATTCATTTGAGATGCTTCCTAGAGAAAGTGCCAATGAGATGTATTCACGCTTGAATGTTCTTGTAGAGGAAGTCAATGGGCTTGGACTCACACAAATGCAACACTCCGATGTTATGAGAAAGATCTTGAGTGTCCTCCCTATTGACAAATATGGGCATATTGTGACGGTGCTTCATCAAGGTGATCTTTCCACCGCTACACCAACTCAAATATTGGGGAAGATCAATGCACATGAGATGTACATGCACATCACTCCACAAGATGGCTCTTCTTCCACTAAGAAAAAAGATTTGGCATTCAAGGCTAGCCAAGAGAAGAGGGGCAAAGCAAGAGTTGATCATGATAGCTCAAGTGATGATGAGATTGATGATGTAAGTCTTGCTCTCATGGTGAGAAGAACTACCAAGATGCTCAAGAAGCTAAACAAGAATGGTGTCAAGTTTGATGGCAAAAAGAAAAATTCTTCACTAGTAATAGA